AGTCTAATTTAGTGGAGTGGGTTGATGATTGGGTCAACCCAAACCAACCCAACCCAACCCATTAACAACCCTACCCCAGACTGGAATTTTGAGAAATACGTTTGTTTTGGATCTTCGCGATCTGTAGATCGTCACGTGAAAGTGGCATTTTGATTAACCAATAAAAGAGTTTTTTTTTTTTGATAAATTTTTTTTTCGTGTAAAAAATGTTATTTTCGCATTCTAAACTTAGATTTAACTCGAGAATATGTCATTGGTGGCGTCACTTAGTCCAACCCTCGATAACCTCTCGTAAACTAACATCTACTACCGGTTCAGGCACTATAGGTTTATTAGATGAAATACCGATAAATTCAGAATATTCCACCTACAAAAGATACAATGCCTCACAACTAACCAGCAGAACAACTCCTCCAAAATGTGTTCAAATGCTAGTTCGGGATTTTATTGACGATTCGTTATATAATCCAAATTATGGGTATTTTTCAAAACAAGCAATTATTTTCTCATCCGAAAAAGAATTTGAATTTAATAAAATTAAAGATAATTTGGAATTTATGAACTTGGTGGCAAAAATGTATAAAGAACATGAAGTGCCTTTAGATGTAACAAATAAAGCGTCTAGACAAGTTTGGCATACTTCAACTGAATTATTTAAGGTTTATCACGGATATTCTCTTTTTGATTTACTTTATGTCATTAAATTAATCTTTTCCTTTTTTTTCTTTCCTTGTTTTTTTTTTTTTTTAAAAAAAAAATACGTATATATATAGCCTTGGTATGGATATGCAATAGCAAAATACGTAGTTACTGAATATAAATTAAGCGGTTATCCTTCACATGATCTGATAATTTATGAACTTGGAGCTGGTAATGCAACTTTAATGCGTAACATTTTGGACTATATTCAAAAGTTCGAACCATCTATTTATAAAAGAACAAGATATAGAATTGTAGAGATCAGCTCGAAATTAGCTGAACTACAACTCCAAAGTCAAAATGTTCAAAATAATAAGAACGTACATGATTGTGTTGAAGTTATCAATAAGAGTATTTTTGATTGGAATGAACTTGTTGCTGATCCTTGTTATATTTTTGCCTTTGAAGTTTTGGTATATATATATATATCTATTATCTTTTTTTTATTAGTTCATTTTATTCATTTATTTAAAATTTAAACTTGCTCAATTTATAAATTGCTTTTATTTATTGTAGGATAATTTCGCTCATGATTTAGTTCGTTATGATTATGTCGACGAAAAACCGTATCAAGCTATTGTAGTAATAGACGACAAAGGTGAATTTGAAGAAATATATGAACCTGTTAACGATCCGTTAATTACTCGCTACCTTACTCTTCGTAGCAGAACCCTTTATAAAACTCCTGTTCTACAAAACCGTTTTTTCCGAAAATTACGCAACAAACTTCCCTTTTCCCCAAATATGACCCCCCCGGAGTTCATTCCCACAAAAGAATTATTGTTTCTTGAAATACTAAAAGACTATTTTCCACAACATCGTTTAATAATTTCGGATTTTTATAAACTTCCCGATACAATTAGAGGTATAGATGCCCCTGTAGTACAAACTCGTTATGAAGATACTATGGTCCCTTGTTCAACTTTCATGGTATCTCCGGGCTGGTTTGATATTTTCTTCCCTACCAATTTTGAATTATTGAGAGATATTTATCTGTTGGTCTGTCATTCTGGCAAAGCGAAAGAGAATATTAGAATTTTGACACAACACGACTTTTTAAAACGTTACGCTGATTTGGAAAGAACTAAAACTAGGAGTGGTGAAAATCCGATGCTAATGTATTATGAGAATGTCAAATTTCTTTTAAGCTGATTTCTTATTGCTTTGCTTAAACTATTATGCGATTACATATCTTTTATTATATATTTTTTGTGTCAGAATTTTAAAGGTGTGGTTAAGTATTTGTTAGTTAATATGGCAGTAGATAATTTTAAAATCTTAATTCTAATTGTCTTGTAAAAAAATATTACGATAATATCTTGAAATTATACATCAACAAAAATATATATGCATAAAATTTCGAACAAATTACACAAAGGTAAACCTTCGAAAAAGTGATGATCCTCATGGAGTTATTTCGAAAAATAAAAATACAAAGATTTGTGAAAATATAAATGCGAAGCAATTCAAAAAATGGTTTGAAAAAATCAGAGAAGTAACAAAATGAAAATTAAAACTAAAAAAAATTTGGAAATATCAGAAAATACAAATAGCTTTATAAAACATCTATAATAGCTTTACGTATTATATATAATTTATTATATATAATACTTTTTTATTATATTTAGCTTATTATATTTGATACAGCATAGTCAAATTTATATATTTTTTTGGTATTAAGGTGACCTCTTGGTTGTCAGCTTGTCAAATTTATATTGTTATTTATTGAGATAATATAAAAAACAAAAAAAAACAATAAGCAAAAAAAACTGAGTCAATAGCATAGTGGTTATACTTCAAAATTAAAAATCACAAGATTGTTATTTTAAATTTTGATAGTAACAAAATTTATAGTTAAAACTTTGATTTAAATAACTAAAATTATATAAATAAAATAAAAGATTAGATATTTTATAACAACTTTACTAAAACGCACCAGTGGTGTTCAACACTACATATCAAAACAAAAATTTAAAAAAAGATTAAAATTTAGCTAATATTAGGGTTAGAGTTATTAGCTAGTATTGGGGATATAGGTTATTAGGTTCATCTATAGTATAACGTGTACTAATACACTCGATAATCACATCGAATATCACATCATAAATAAGGTTATAGATCATCAATTTACATTACGTAATTTTTATTGATAGATAAGTAATAATTATCTATAAGCCAAAGTATTACATTACAGGTGAATAGAGACGAAATTTAATTTGTTCCTTGAAGTTACCTAAGGAAATCGTAATACTTCGGTAGGAAAAAAGAATCTCAACAGGAAATCTAATTCCAAATTAATTTTTTTTCTAACCAAAACTAACATGATCAGTTACTCGAATTTTAGATTATAAAAG